CCCACCAAGGGTGAACATGTACACTGTTTGCTACTGATCTAACCTAGGCTCCTTACAGAAAAATACGTAACTTAGATCAATTCTTTCCCAGGCTTTCTGAACGTCTGTACCTGACCTTGGTGTCTAATTCAGGCACATGGCAATTCCCATGCTTTGGGATTTGAAATTCTTATTGGTTGTGTAAGTAGTCATGTTAGACCATGCTTCAGAGCTGTAAGTGGCAGTCATAAGCATCAGCTGATGATAATGCTTCCAATAAAACCTCATTTACCCCAGCTAGTAGAGGCCATTGCTTCTTGCTACCTGCTGCACATCCAGGTCTATGAAGTTATATAGGAATCAAGCTCTTACTGAAGCAAATGGAAGTTTGAGAACTAATTCTTTTTGAGGATCTGGGCCAACGTTCTTGCTGGCCTGCCACCTGGCAATATTTATTCTTCTCAGCTAGCTTCACTAATAGATCAAAAATAAAATAAGTTAAGTTTTAAACTGTGCTCACTGCAGTCTTCCTCTGTCTTCATACAGGATTGAACCCTTCAGTCCAATGCTGCATAACATTTAACTCAAATTTTCAGCAAATTATTTTAAGTTTGTGCTTAACTTTACATTAAGTTACATATTCCATTGAAGTCAATAATACATAATATTCAGTCAGTAGGATTTAAGTATGTGCCTAAAGTTAAGCATGTTCTTAATTGTTTTGCTGAATAGAATCAGTATCTGTGTCACTATGTGGAAGTCAGTGGCTGCCAGAGAAAAATAAAATGTATATGCAGTAGTATTAACATTTTTTTTTTACATCAAAGACTCATTTTATGTACTGTACCCCTAAAATTCTTTAATAAATATCCCAGAAAGGCAGTACAATCAGTTAGATTTAAATATTAAAATTTTAAATGGTATATGGACTTTGGGCACTCTAGTACTGTTTTAAGGGAAAATTAATAGGCTTAACTACAGTATTCACAAGTTTAATGCTCTGAGAAAAAAGTGATTGTCTATTTTTTTTTCGCAGTAATTAATGGAAGTCAAAGGCAGCAACTGGAATCTGTGAGCTACTCATCTCGCTACGCTCTGGGACTCTTTTATGAAGCTGGTACACAGATTGATGTCCCCTGGGCTGCACAATACATCACCAATAATCCCTGCATACGCTTCATATCCATCGATAATAAGAAACGCAATATAGGTCAGTACTCCCATTATTTCCCTTAAATACAGTAACAATAGAGGGTGTAGATCATGAAAAATGCTGTTTAATTGAGTGTTGCTATTCTGAACAGAGCAAGTATTTAACTGCAAGCCACAGGGGATAAAATTTAATGTCACATTTGGCCTGCAATAAAATACACAATGAAACCGGGAAAGTTTTCAGAAAATCATCACCCAGCACATGGTTTATATTTCTGCGTTTATGAAAACAGTGTCAGAGTATTTAAGACATCAAAATGTTACTATTCCAAGAAACAGCCTGAGCTCTATTTTTTAAAGACTGATTCATGCACATGCCAATTTATCTACCATCGTCCAATTTACAAATCTTGATCTTTCTATTGAGCATGCTTGGAACATGTTATAAAGTATACAAGGCTTCTCAGTCTAATTCAGTGGTAAGTAATATATTTTTTCCATCAGGGAAAATCCTTGAGATTACTCTATGTATAGCACTTAGGCAAAAGACTTCTTTTTAGAGTACTTCTTAAGAGTTCTGCAGGAATTTTGTCATCTCTCTGTTAAAGGTGATCATGAAAAGAGACATACTGTACTTTTATTAACCACATGTAGCAATAAGCCCATGGGAAAATGCAGTAGTCCAGGACATTTAAAAAGTAATCATGAGCAAGATCTGTCAACCTTAAAACTTTTGAGACATAGAAAGAGGAGCAGACTCTGATTTTTATATTACTGAAACTTTTTAAGAATAAAAATTCAGCCAATCTTTTTTCATGGATTGCAATGAAGTGAGCTACTAACTTAAATTGATTAAATCCTTACAAAAATGAAATTCCCTTAAAACATCTAAAACCTTCATATGTTTTTTTAAAAATATAGTGGGAACAACCATTATCTAGTGTAGCTATAGCAAGAGCATAGAAAGCACTGAGACATGGGGGGGAAACATGCTTTACCAGAAGCAGCAGTGCATTACTTCGACCTGGCTTCACAATGTCTGTATAGATCAGGCACTTCAATAGGACTTTTTGGTGCTTTTGTCTAAAACAGATTCAGTCATTAGATAAAAGTGCCAGAAAAGCCACACTAAAGCACCCAATCAATACAGATGTTGGGAAAGTCAGATCCAACTAACATGATGCCTCTTCTGGGTGTGTGCCAGGCTTGCCTCAGGAGCACACCGATTTTAAAGTAAGGCATCAGGTTTTTCTTTCCACATCTGCAAGCAGCCAGTAATTCTATTTTCATTTGTTCCAGTGACTTTAAGTGATCTTGATCTAGTCAGTTAGCCTTAGTTAATTCAGCTGTGAAATGGGACTCAAATCTGTATTTTCAAACTACTTGGATATCTGTTGAACTTAAGTGAAGATTTTCAGAAATGGCCCCTACGTAATACAAATTGTTATCACTATTATAAAATATTAAGTGAAATAAATCTTGGTTTTCTGTTCAAAGTTATGAATCCAGAAATGTTTCTCTCCTATCTTTATTGTTCAGTTTGGACTAAGAATTATCATTCTGTAACAAACTTAAACTCTGTCAGCATCTGTCCATCAAACATGTTTCAGATGTGTACATGACTTGTAGTACCCAAACACCAACAAAATTATATAAAGTAGTCATAAGACTGAAGATACATGTGTTCTTTCTGTTGTTGTATTATGCCAGGCAATTTTATATATTACTTACTATCATGTTATTTGTTATCTTCAGGAAGTCAGGTTAGTCATTCATTAAATTGTGGGAGAGATAATATAAGAGCAACGTTGTAATTTTGTGGGAGAGGTAATTCAGCGATGCTGAAAAGCCATTCTACTTTCTAATATAAAAGTTCAGCTATGGGCCAGCTGCCGGGAACTATCTGCCTTTGCTCATACATTTTTTTACCCAAGGCATGATAACTCCGGTATCCCTAACAGAATGCAGAGACCACACTGAAATAATCCAGGTAAGACCCATGTGAGGACATTAAAAAACATGATTCGGACTTTGACCTGAATCCAGCATTGAACAAGGATCCAGTGTAGTGAGAAGAACCTGCCTGATGTGCTTATGCCTTGCTGTGCTGCTTAGGTGAGCTGCTGCATGCTTCAGCTTCACTTGCCAGGCCAAGGTTTATAGTACATGAGATTGTAGTGACAAACTCATGCATTGGCATAGCCTGATCCCCAGTGGAGAAGGGTGGGGGCGGATGATAAAAGACAATTCATTTTACTGTTTTTGCATCAGAGGCCAGGTCCACAATAGTAGCAGCACTAATTTGTGCTGCTACTTTGTGCCATGGTGCACACCCCTGTCCGTGTTCTTTGCTGGCCTGTGGCTGCAGTGGGTGGCTGGCTGGTGCATAGGGTGTCTTGGCAGGGGCTAACCATCCCCTGCACTGAGGCACCCTGTGCCCCGACCAGCTGGAAATTCGGGGGGGGGGGACAAATGTGGGACAAATGTAGAGGTGGGGGAGCAGGCAGCTTTGGGCTGGCTGCTCCCCTGTCTCCATGTGCCTCTGCAGGGGCCTCACTGTGGAGCCCCCATGCTGAGGCATGTGAAGCCTCTGTGCTGAGGCACACTGCACCCCAGCCAGCCTCAGATCAGCTGACTGGGGTGCAGTTTGCCTTGAGATGGGGGGCACGAAGCCTGCTCCCCATCTCAAGGCACACTGCAGAACAGCTGGCTGGCTGGAAAGTAGCAGCACTGTGCACTGTTTAATGTGCAACTTTTGCAGTTTGTGGCACTGCGAAGAGGTCTGCAGCACCACAAACCTCATGTGCCTGCACGTCTGCATCCAGGCAGAGAGTCCCAAAAGAAAGCGTATGTGTGTGCTGCTGCGATTGGATACTATGTGCCCCCAGTCTTGGGTGATGGTTGAATTTGGTACACTTCTTCCAAATAGCTTGCTCCCTTTTCCCACCAAAATTGCCTGCTCGGGTTTTGTTTTTGCTAATTATGCACTCAGTGTAATGCTGGTTGAAATTGATGTTTATGCCAGAAGCAAAGAAAATACAGATTTTTATTACATCTAGTATTGTGATGCAAAACTCCCTGCCATCCTATGAGTTCTCTGGTACACTTAGCCTAAATGGTGACTAAGATTTGAGACAAGACTCAGTGCCTTACACAAGGGCTCTTAAAAGTGTGTTTGTTAAAAAACCCACCTTAGATGGGCCTAGAAATTAGAAGTGAGGTACTGTTAAAAATGGCCTTTAACGAGCTTCTCAATCATCTTGCCAGGCATTTACTCTAAAATCCAGCCCTGAGTAAATGTAAAGAATTCCTATATTCAACTAACTTGTACTTTGTAACAAAATGAAATACTATTAAGTGCTTAAAACACAATATCTTTTCATTATTTAAGGTCTTTAAAAGACTGATATAACTAATTGTGTTGCATTACTTGGGGGTACGACTAGATAACCTTAGAGGTCCATTCCTTCCAACTCTGTGATTCTATATGTACTCAGTAAATTATTAAAAGGTTACTAAACAATATCAAAATGTATGTGTTTAAGGTAGTGCACACACTTTTAACCTTGGATGGATGGTAATTTCTTAAGGAAGGTTCATTTTCTCAGGCGAAATATTTTCTTTAGGGGGGTTTTTTAGGTTTTTGAACAAAATGAGGACCAGCCGTTGCAGATGAAATGCCTCCCACAAGCCCTCATTGTAACATATAAACAGCCAGCCAGCCAGCCCTCTTTTGTACTGTACTGTTCCTTGTTAACTTACTTGAATTTTGTACAGTTCAACTTTGTTCCAAGAAAAGTAGTAGTGGAGTGGGAGAATAATGCATGTTAACAAGAAATAGGGAGACAGTTCTGATTGTGGGTGTTCCTGTATAGCACAGAACGTTTGAAAGACATTCCCTTGCTCTTTTTGTTGAAGATATATTAAAATACAATAAACAAGTAAACAGATAACTAACATTAAAGGGAATTCATAAACAAGGATGCACACATACGCATGCATAAGAGTATATGGATAGCTAGGGCTCAATGTGTAGTTTACTTAAAAGTTAGTAATATCATAATAGAAATACAGTGAAAGCTGTGTTAACTGGCATTCTACTATCCAGAATACTCTACTAACTAGAATTTCTAGCCAAGTGGCCTCACACTGCAGGGGGGGCAGGGGAATTGCTGATGCCACCCACCACCCTATGCTGCCTCTGTTCCACATGCAGCCATCACCAACCCCCCTGCCCCTGCCCCGCAGGGGTTTTCAAAAAGCTTGAAAACCCCTGCCTCAGATAACCAGAATTTTTAGGTACTTGGCACCCCCCTGACCCCACTCATGCCAGTTAACACAGCTTTTACTGTACATTTTACATAGATTTCTTCAATTTCTTTTCATTCATACACACATTTTATAATAACATTTCTGAATGAACCTTAGACTGATTTACATATTTTAAATAAAAAGTAACTATATATGTGCAAGAAAAAGGGCACTTCATAAAATACAAACAGAAAACTTAATTTTTCTTTTATTTTCCCACTTTCTCTCATGCATCCACAGTAAGTAGATGGGGCAGCTGATGTCTGATGCCCAAGAAAAGGCCAATCTCCTAAACAAATACTTTGTATCAGTTTTCTACCCACCCAAAGGGGTCACAGTGTTAGACAGAACACACAACTTCCAGGGAGTGAGAGATGGTCCCATAATTGATGTTCATCAGGTGAGGGAACACCTCGAAAGGCCAGATGTCCATAAGTCCTCAGGCCTGAATGGAATGTACCCAAGAGTCTTGGAAGAGCTGGCAGACATCATAGGACTCCCTATGGCAAAGATATTTCAGAACTCATGGCGCTTGGGTGAGGTGTCGGAAGACTGGAAAAGAACTGATGTGGTCCCAGTCTTCAAAAAAGGAAGGAAGGAAGATCCAGGAAACTACAGGCCAATCAGCCTGACATCCATCCCTGGGAAGATCTTGGAGAAAATCATCAAGGGATCCATCAGCAACAAGTTAATGGAAGGCAACCTTCTGAATGCCAGCCAACATGGCTTTGTCACTGGAAGGTCTTG